GGGTCTGTCCGGGAGCTGACATTGGCTCTGTCAGACACAGGGCAAGCTTCTAGCAGCTTCTTGCAGAAGCCACCCCTGTAGCTCCCCACTACAAAACCTTGCTATGCAAACCCAGCAGAAGCAGGAAACTAGCAATAATTACTTTATACAGTTTTGGGAAGGAAGAGGGAGAGTGGACACTATCCAACTCTAGCACCTACATTAGCCTGGGGACATGACTCTTCTCTTCATGGTGAAGGGCTGCTTCAGAGGTAACAAAACCACAGATTGTGTCCTCTGGAATAGTCTCAGTTTTTCTCACTCTTTGGTTTACTCAGGGAGGCTGCACAGGTATGAGCTTGATGCCTAAAAGTACACATTGAATACCTCCTTGAGACTCGAGTACTTCACGAGGTTGCAGTATACTCATGTTAAAAGGAGTTAAGCCATGAAAGGAATTCAAAACTTCCATAAACAATGTCTTTTCCTCAGCATTTATCCATCAGATTTGATGTGGAAACCCGGCACGTGTTTGTTGGTGATCATTCTGGGCAAGTGACCATACTCAAACTAGAGCAAGAGTCCTGTAGCCTTGTTACAACATTTAAGGGACACACAGGTAAGGCCTCAGGGGGAGACCTAATTTGATTCTTCATCTGTGCTCAGCATCACAGGGGTTTGACTCTCCTGAAAAACTCTAGGATGGCTTCTGTCAGTGTGCAGCATGGAAGAGAGAGGGACCTTAAACTGTCACTACAACTTAGGGAAGTTTATTCTTCACTGGTAAAAATAAGAGCAATCAGACTCCTGATCAGAAAATTTCCATGGCAGAAAATGTCACCATCAGTAGCTGATAATTAAAGCAAAGTGAGACCAGAACAAGTTGTGATAATCCTGGGGGAAAAAGATGGGTCTCAAGGAGAGACCCATGTTGGTAGATGCCTTTGCCCCAGTGGAATAGGCACATCTTGAAGACACTGACTGCTTGTTTCACTGCTGGGACTCCTGCCCTGTCATACTTTAAAAACAGCAACCCTGGGGTGTGATCTGTCAGAAGAAAGGGTGGTAATTCCCCAGCATTTTCTCTCTGTGTCCCTCCTCTGCCTGAATGCTAGTAGCTCAATCATGAGGTAGCACAAAGTAGCTCAGTCCTTGTGCTAGGACACTGTGACAGTGCCAGTGATATTCCACACTAGCTTCTCCTTTTACAGCCTCCTGGGAGTGGTGGAGGTGAAAAGCTGTGTGGTCACACTGAGACCATCCTTCTGCCAGGTTTCACTGCTCAGGCATTCACTCAGGAGAGTGGCAGCTGAGCCCTCTGCCCACACAAGAGCAGGATGGGGCTTCAGTAGGTTTTCTAGGCTGTTAGTTTTCAACTGGCAAGCAGAGTGACTTTGCTTAGAGACCTGCATTTTAATCATTATCTGTGGGTTTTGTTCTATGTCTACTCTTCTGCCTTCCACTTTCTGTCACAAAATGACTGTTGTGTGCATCTCCTGTTTCAGGTGGTGTCACTGCTCTCTGCTGGGACCCAATCCAGAGAGTTCTATTCTCAGGCAGTTCTGATCATTCCATTATAATGTGGGATATTGGAGGAAGAAAAGGAACAGCCATCGAGCTGCAAGGACATAAGTATGTTCAAAGCCCTTCCTCCTGCTTTTAGGGGAGGATAGCTAAAGGCAGGAGCCACATTTGGAAACAAACAGCCCCAAATTTACAGTCCTCCCAAGCCTAAATCTTGTATGTGTGACTACCTGTGTTCCATACATAACTGGAATAAGTTGCTTATAGTAAGTTTTTCAGTGTTGGGCCCAAACACTGGTTTGAGAGTGTGCAAAGGGCAGTGAGGGAAAGCACAATATCCATAGTCCTGAATGTGTTGTGCCAGAGCTTTGTTGGAAAGAGAAGGGTCCTGGATGGGAACAGCTGCAGGGAGATGACCACTGGTTAGGTGCTGAGGTCTCTCCTTCCCCTAGAGGGAGCATCAGGCTTGGACAACCAGGCCCTTTTTCTGCCACACCAACTTTTTCCATGCCATTTTACCTACAGCCTGAATTCCAAGCAATGTGCTTTACCTGTAGGGGCCTTCATGGTCTCCTCATTGCAAAAAAAGCTTCATCTATGCCCATACAGAGCTCACATTTATGTAGCATAGTAGATATCATTGAAGACATCTACTGTCCAGCCTGTGCTGGCCATGGAATAAAGATCAGAATGGCTCTAGCTGCAGTGACCTCCCAGCCTTTCAACACCTGCAGTGCAGCAGTCTTCTTTCAGTGTATTGGGAGTGCATATATGTGGGACTTGCATGCCAGGCTCAGGTCAGGAGAGCCAAAATCCCATGGTGGTTTTCCTCTAGCAGTTTCTTACATATTCATTGGTTTCTTCTGAGTGGTATGGAT